AGTCTAGTCCATTTTATATTTATCCCTATAAAGTGAGGTGAGAGTTTTCCAAAGGGTGAGTAAAGGGTGGAAGTGGAGTAGTTGGTCACATCAGTAGGTGCCCTTTGGTTCGACATTAGAGTTAATATTTCACTCTCCCTATAACTCCTCTGCTATCCCTTTCTAATTTTCCTCGAGGAAGGAGGGAAAACTGAAATCCAATTTTTTTTTTTTCTAAATCAAAACACTAACTACATAGAAATGTAGTAGGCCATCCACTCATTTTAGTTGCCCTCATTTCTTATAAACTTTTTTTCAAATTTATTTTCAATCACATATATAATGAAATCTACAACTTTTATCAAATTTTCAATCAAATATTTCATTAATTTTTATCAAAATCTACCAAAAATTTAATTTTTATCAAAACGCAAAGAGGGACTTAGTGTACGAAGCTTTCCAAATTTGACCGTGTTAATTTCATACAAATTTCGATTCTAGCTATAGAAGCAAATGTATACGGACTCATAAAAGGACACCAGCAAATCATGAGGTTGATAATAAAAAGTCAAGCCAAGATTCGTCGACATGATCGAAATAGAAATTCATCTCTAATACAAGCTAATAGAAATTCTATCAAGGTAACGAGACAAATGATAAAAAGCGACCTGATCTATAATTTCATCAAGATACACGTGCCCTGTTAGATATGGCGACTCACCAAATTTTTCATTTGTTATTTACTTTTATATTTTTTTATGCAAATTTAGATGTGATTTAAGATAGCTAAAAATTATTAATGGCTTATAGATAAACATGTTAGGTATTAATTATGAACACGTGTGTCTATTCGTTAGATATCAATATCATTAGATTAGGAAAAAAATCGAAAAATCAACCAAACCAGGTAATTGGTTTTATTTGATTTTCTTTTAACACAATCAAGTGGGTTGGTCCAATCATGGTTTGAAGTCTCGAACATTGGTTAATCGGATCAACCCAACCCACTCATACATTTACCATTTTTTTTTTAATTTTTTTAAGAAAAATAAAAATCAAAAGATAAGTCATGATCTCATAACTATATCTCAATTCTCTCTAGTCTATCATGTTGTCGATAAGTAATAGCACTGAGAATTTCCTTTGACAGTCTCATTATGTTATACTTTACATTTTTCCCTACTCAAGTAGTCAGACTAGATAAAAAAGCAACAAAATTTCTAAGTTTTTTGTTGATATATCTCTATTTACTCGATTCTATTTGATAGTCAATAGTTCTTATAATATAAAATTATTTGGTTATTTTAGCTCTTGTAATCTCAGCAAACCAAAAACTCGGACAATTCTTTTTAAAAAAATTCAATTTAGACTAAAAGTCCGAACCAAACTTATTTGGTTTGGTTCAGTTTAAGAGTTAGAATGGGTTGGTGTGGATTAAAATTTATCCAAATCGACTAATTTGATTTTGATTTCAGGTTGGAGTCGAAACCGACCTAAATCAAACTGCACCTAGACCTAAATATCGTGTAGATCAATAATTTTCAACTTGGATGCCGTTTATATTTCACAAAATGTATTAGAAATGTCCTAACTGTAAGGAGATGAAACTTACGTTCTGAACAAAATCTTTCAAACGTTAATTTGCTTCTTGTAATGATCCAATCTCCTAAAGTTGGAATAACTTTTGAGATAAGTATAAAAAATACTTTTACTCCTTTTCATTTTGTATCCAAATAAAAAGTAGTCAGCTATAAAAAGCCGTTGGACTTGTATGAGTTGAGACTGCGATGGAGGGTGTTATATTTCTCCGACACCATTTCGATAACCAAACGAACCTTGCTTAGCGTGCAGGAAAAGTGTTGCCAAGGTCATTACAGAGAGGATGTCGAATCATTACATTGGACACTGGAAAAAAAAAAATTATTCGACTACACAAGTGCTGCCAGCACACACCTGTGCAACCCCTGTAGGTTATTTCCCTGTAGATGATCATACACGTATATAATGATGTACACACGAATTTACATCTCTCTCACATGAAGAGTCCTTACATACAATAAATTATGGGTGAGCCCTCCTCCACATGCGAGAGGTATATCCCAATGCGTACACATCAAGGTATACAAGCGGCATTACCCTTCCTTTGTACCTAACCAAACAATGTGAAATGGCAGTGGTGGGCAGTAGGCTACACAGAAGAGAGTAGAGCATGATTTTTACCCAGTGCAACAGGGTTCAAGCCATGCATCTTACGTGGCGACATTTGTTGCATGATTGGGTCCCTCATTTTTGGAGCTGTGCCCAGTGTGAATTCCTTTTTCAGTAATTAATGCGAATCGAAAATGGCGCCGTGGTCCCGTCCTGCATCTCATCTTGACATTTGATCTGCACCGTTATTTGGCAGCTTCTGTTTGGATCCAATGCCCCCAAAAATGCTAAATATAATAATATTGCTTTCAATTTAAATTAATTTTTTTCATCAAAATACGTTTTCCAACAATAATTTGACTACACTTTAACCACACATTTTTTAATAAAATAATATTACACGTAAATTTATGATTTTTTTATTTTTTAACCACACATTTTTCATCAATACACTATTTAAAAATATATTTTTTCACAAGAATGAGGCTAAAACAAGGGCTAAATATCTAATAGTTAGTTTTTTTTTTTTTAAATTATGTAATACAACAAAAGCAATATTTTATTTTGATTAATTTTGAATAAATTGTTAATTTTTGGACAACATAGTTCCATGTTTGGTTTGGATAAAAATTAGACGTCTAGTGGATTTCGATAAAAGTTAGTAAAATGTGTGACTGAAACTTTGCAGATCCCATAAATTATGTAGTTGAAAATGAGTTTCAAAAAATGAGACTAAACAAGGGCATACTTTTTTCCGTCTTCATTGCCAATGTTGACATTGGCAAGGAAAATATTTCTTGAAAGTGTTTAAAACATGCACATCAAATTTACTCACGGCGGACATGCCAAACTAAATTAATGATGGATCATTGACTATTTTATTGATGAACAATAATATTGACTTTGTTGATCGCATGAGAAATTGTGTAAAATGAATCACTATTAAGAAATAAGTGCATGACAAAAAGTGCTTTCCGCACACCATACTTTGGAGATGTACGTCTATCAAAGCATAATATCCCATAGTTAACTAGGTTATCAATGTAATATTATGTTTCGATAGAGATATGAGTTTTGTATAATATTATCAGTGACAACATGCCTGCTTGGTATACTACAAAACTCGTGTCTACACTTGCTTCTGTTGAAGTATGGTATCCCATAATATCATATGATTTTCAAGATTAGTCTTCAACTACTTCATACACTAGTTAGGACATTCTTGAAGTTTAGAAACATTGGACCTCCCAAATTATGTCCAACAGCTTTGAAGATTTCGTTGTTAATGCTTGTTCTTGCAAACGAGTCAATATCCAATGACTCAGTCTAAGATGATTGATATTCAATCGTTGATGTAGAATGACTCGTGACTTTTAGAATTGCGTCACAGTAAGGATCATAGGATCATACAATATTTATACTTTAATAAAGAGCATTGAAAGGATACATTTTTTCAACTGGGGGCAGGGGCATACCATCTAGGAGTTACATTCTTAATAGTATTTGAACGTAATTATAGATAATGGATCTCCTAAACACTTGTACTTAGTTTATATTAAATACCAATGACATGACACACTAATTAATGTGGTGGAAAATAATGATAGGTCCCATAAAATGATTAGATTTATTGATAATTAGTGTACTATGTCATCGATACTTAGTATAATCTAAACACCGATACTTAGGAGATTAGTTATGCACAATTATATTTCTATAGTTTATTTAACATATGTTTTATATACTTTTTTCAGCATTTTTTTATTTTGTTGCACGGTAAGTCCGTTCCATTGTCATCTGGTGAAATATAAATTTGAAAACATGAAGAAAGTTCTTGAGCGTTACATCAGAGCAGCTCGTGTCTACATGTTTTACATTTATATAGTGTTGTGTAAAAGACACCCCGAACTTTTCCTTCCTTACAATTTAGTCCTTCCAAAATTTCACCTGTATTTGTAAGACCCTAAAAAACTAAACAATATAACTCGTCGTTGACCAAATTATGAGTAATTAGTTCAACTTAGAGAACGCAATTGTCGGCTTAAACTGACTTTTGAAAAAGGCTCTAGTCAATCTTAACCTTAATCAAAAGCTCGTTGACTTGAATTATGTAACTAAACATGATTGGCTGCCCATTTACCTGATGACAGCAATATATGCCCATTAAACCTCGGACTTTAAGGAACATAGCCAACACCACCATTCATTTGTAGCTTTTTAAGATGAAATTTGAAGTCTTAATTTGATTGTAATGGAGTTCATTTAGTTCAAATTTGATTCGACTAAGGCTCAAATGAGTACAAAGGATTTCAGGATCATTTGGTAGACTATTTGGATAATATTTTGAAAGTGTATTGGGTGGAAGAAGAATTTGACTTTTCTCTACAATCTCTTTTTTAAAAATAAGTTCCCTTTTGTTTTTCATTTTTTGTCCATTAAAATGAAAAATATGATCGTTATTCAACACATCAAGTCATCATATTTGACTTCTATCTCTTGTGTGGGGTTCATAACGACTATATTTTTCTTTCTCATTTTTACATTAATGTGTATCAAACGGGGCCTAAAAATGAAAATAGAAATCCCACCAAACAGACCTTTTATTTTGACTATTAAAGAAAAGTAAGAAAATTTTAAAATCCATATTAATATGAAACTAACCCTTACCCTTTTGTGATGCAGTGTTGTTGAGAGGTTTAGGGGTGAGTTTCCATGTATAGTGATGGAGGGCCATTCATACTTCATTAATTATTTAAAATAAAATAATTAAGAAAAACTGGTCGTGTTAATCTTTTTCAAATAAAAAAAAGAAAAGAAAAGAAAGACAGGAGTGTCAATTATTATTATAATAACTATTAGGAAAACTTTTTCAGTATCCACAAACACTATCCCGTCCAATCACATTTCTCCACCTTCTTCAGCTACCCTCTCTCTCTCACACGCACTCTCTCAAGTTTTTTGGGCCAAAAATTCCGATTCAGATTGCTTTTCTTGCTTTCTTCTCTTTTCTTTGTTGTTTCCAATACTTCAAGAAAAAGGAGGAAAACAGAAGACCCCCTTTATCACTTTTTTTCTTGTCACGAAAATCACAGTCTCGTCTCAGAATTCAGAGTTTTCTCCACTGATTTATTCACTCCAGTTTCCATCTTTCAGCTTTATTAACTGTCTCTGTTTCTTGCACCTTTTTGCTTTTTCCTTGGTGGGATATCAAAATATTCAAGCTGGGGAAGATAAATATCCATTAACTCTTCTTTCTGATTGAGGATCTTGTATCATTTTATTGGAATTGTTTTTTTAGTTGTTGTCTTAGTTTGCCCCTTGGTTTTGTGGGTTCAGATCTTAATGATGGTTTTGCTGGATTTTGTATTGACTGAAATAGTTTTTACTTTTTATTAATTATTGCCTTTTTTCTAGTTATGAAAATTTGTGAAATTTTCTTTGATTTTGTAAAAGGTGTGATCTTTTTAAGATTCCTCAAGCGAGAGGTGGCTGTAGAGGAAAAGCTATTCTGATTCCTCCACAAAAATGCCTCATGATTTAACACTGATATAGCCATTGTGATGCTTCCACCTCTCTGCATTTCCTTTCCCACATCTCATCTTACTCTGCACTTCTCTCCTCTGTTTCATCATAATCAAAACTTGTTCAAAATCTCCTGATATTTCAGCATATATTCTAGTTACTGGAATTTCAAAAGGTGGGGTATGGAGATTTTATCACCAAGTTCTTACTTTTCTAATTCAAATTGGTTGCTTGAGGAGAGCGGGAGCACAAAATGGACTCCAGCTGAAAACAAGGCCTTCGAGAATGCTCTTGCTCTATACGATAAGGATACGCCCGATAGATGGCAAAAAGTCGCAAAAATGGTTCCAGGGAAAACTGAGTGGGATGTGATTAGGCAATATAAGGTATTGGAAGATGATGTTAGTAATATAGAGGCAGGGCTAATTCCAATTCCTGGGTATAGCATGTCGTCGCCTTTTACACTTGAATGGGGGAGTGGCCACGGATTTGATGGATTCGATCATGCTTATGTTTCCGAGGGAAAGAGATCCTCTTCGATTAGGCCTAATGAACATGAAAGGAAAAAGGGTGTTCCATGGACAGAAGAGGAGCACAAGTGTGTTTTCTATCTCTGATACCATAACGAACTTCATTTTTTTTTGAATGGATATTGCTGGAATACTTAATTATTGGAAGTTTAGATTAGATTATACAGAGTAATTTGCATAGTAATCAACTACAAGTTCGATATAATCGACATTTTCTAATGAATTTCATCCTTGGAATGTATGTACTTGAATTTATTAATTAGTTTCATACTGATTGATGTTATTGACATGAATTTGGGATGATTTTGTTACATAGGTTGTTTCTGATGGGGCTTAAGAAGTACGGAAAAGGGGATTGGAGAAATATCTCGCGCAATTTTGTGATTACTAGAACACCAACGCAAGTTGCTAGCCATGCTCAAAAGTACTTCATTAGGCAACTTTCCGGAGGAAAAGACAAGAGAAGAGCGAGCATTCACGATATAACAACGGTTAACCTCAACGAGAATCAAAACCCTTCACCGGAGAATAAAAACCCGCCTTCACCGGAGCCGTCTGCTGTTCTTCCACGGCAGTCGAATTCTGCTCCGGTGCAAAAGCATACTTTCCACTGGAATCGATCACCCAATGATGCAGTTGGTGGCTTTCAACCTGGAGGAGGCCTTGGAAATATGTTTTCTCCTCCCTATGCTGTGAATTCTTATGGAAATAAAATGCAGGGACAACTCATCCAAAGAGGTGGGATCCATGAATCATTACTGGGATCTCAGAACATGGCGTTTCAGATGCAGTCAGGGCATTATTTTCCTCATGCATGATATTGGATTTAGACTATGTTAGTTTGAAATTCCCAGTTTGGATTTAGTAGCATAGATTGCTTGTGCTCTTTGATCTTCTTTTGTGAATATTTTGTTTCACGAGCACGAACTTTTCACCACTGTAAATGCAATGCAGAATCCCCCAGCATTCGAGGTAGATTCAAGGTGTTGCCAGTAAGTTGAAGTTGCAAATCTCACATTGAAATCGAACTTGTTACTGAAAGACTCGTACAATTGTTATTGCTCCAAATGTCTTTGGCACATGCTTTTTCTCTCGCGATTAGTTTCATTCTTGCCTCACACTGTTGCTAGCGTACCGTAACATAATAATTAACTGAGGCTTAAATCTATGTGACAACAACATGTAGCGAGGTGTTCGGGATGGAAATTGTGGCGTTATCGTCCCATTGTTCTCTTTCTTCATGATGATCTAGTTATAAATAGAACATGAACTGGATGATAAAAAAGCATTCAAATAGTTGACATTCAATTTTGTTGTATTTATACTGCTCGACTATCATGAGCACTCGATTTGGAATTCTAGGATAATTCAGAATATTTGGTACGCTCAGATGCTGAACTAGATTTTAAGAAGAAATATTGACTAATTTTTCGTTTTTCGTTATAGTGTTAACTAGTACGTACTTGTGGAAACAGTATATTCTAATGCAAAGAATTCAAGGAGGCAATATGAACATAGGTAGCTTTTCACTTGGAAATGACAAGACTAGGCAATTTCTTTATAGAAAAAGAACACCATATGTGCATGTTGCACCCGAAAGCACCATATGCCACTTTATTCTGATTTTTATCATAATATTAACCACATAAATTAAAACGAGGACCTCAAACTTTCGGTTGTCCGATTGATTTTCTATATTCTCGGACAATATTATGATATTTTATCCCGAAAATCATTCCAAAGAATCAAACAAAGACTAAGATTATACGTATGTACCCAAAAGAGCGTGACCACTTATCGAGAAATAGAAAGGACGGACAAGTTGGTTGGAGGAACCATTGGTCAAAGGAAAGGGAAGGTCCTAATTTCGGTCAAAGTTTAGCAAGAAATGCTTTTAATCATATCCATGAAGATATTCGAAAGAAGTGAGACTCCTTAATGATCACGAACCCAAAAATCCAAGATATAGTGAGGTCGGTTTTGTCCTCGGTTCAGGTTGAATTGAATACTTCTCGTCAATATATTCCCACAACAAGATTAACATTAAGTCCAACTAACTGACGTCCAATTTAACTACTTGAGCGATATAGAAGGGGTAAAAATCTGCATGCCTTCGAAAACCAACTTCCAATTTAACAATTTATAACAATTTTGAAGTAGAAATTCAGATAATAAATTGTAAAGAGTGATTCGAATTAATTAATAAGACAGTCATGAAAAAAATAAAAAACTAAAAAATTAACAAGACTGACTCTTGAGAACATGCATATATAGATCAAGCCTTCCCTTCAGTAGATGCTTTATCTCCCACAGGCTTAATAGCTTCATCATCAGAATTGAAATATTTCTTCCAAAACCAGTGTTTTTTCCAAGCTCTCTCATTCATTTCATCAATGGGGATTCCCTTAGTTTCTGGCAGAAAGAACACAGCCCAACATCCCATTATAACAATCCATGCAGCAAAGAAAAAGAAGATCCCGGATTTCATATGGCACAGCATTGTGAGAAAAGCTTGAGCAATCAAGAAGGTGAAAATCATGTTCACGCTAACAGCAAAGAAAAATCCAGCAGTTCTCGTCTCGAGTGGGAATATTTCACTTGGAATTAACCAGCCCAAAGGACCCCAAGACCATGCGAAACCAGACACGAAAACGCAGATCAACACCACCACTATGTATGCATAAACTTTTGATATAGAGTTTGTTGCTTTGAGATGCTCTTCAAGCATTACTCCTGTAATAACCTGCAAAAAAACAACAATGTATTATAGCATCCTTAAAGAAAACAAACTGTATTAAGAGTCTGTCTAGCATGACTCTAGAAAAGTCAAAAAGAGCTTTTGAGATACATAAGGAGTTTTTGGACAGCTAATTTTATAAAAGTACTTGTTTTAGTTAGAAGAATTTTTAAAGAAAGCTAATCCAACGTGGTTTCCTTTTAAAGTACTTTTGAAATAGAAAACTCTTTTGAAAATTAGTTTTCAAACAAATATTAAGGTAATTTCCTCTAAAAAATTCTTCTACAGAAAGGAAAAATAAAATCAACACCAATCGAGCCCTAATTACTTAACATGTCACAAACCTGAGAAATAAGCATTTGAATGGCTGCTTCAATAAGTAAAGCCCTTCTTCCAAATATATCCACACCAAAAATTGCAACCAATGTGGATGCTGAATTGATTGAACCAGTCACTACAGATGACAATAGAGATGCATCTCCTCCCAACCCCATGGTTTGGAACAAAACCGGGGCGTAAAACATGATCACATTGATTCCGGTGAACTGCTGAAAAACTTGTAAAATAGTACCACAGATAAGTTGAGGCCTACTCGACCGTTTCATTAGGTTTCTAAAAGGGTGATCGATCTTTTTAGCGACTTCAGTCGCTTGTAGAATCTCGTCATACTCCTTTTGGACATCTTCTACTCCCCGGATTTTCTTTAGAGCTTTTAGACCTTCTTGTTTTTTACCACGTTCGATTAGGCTTGTAGGTGTCTCGACTATGATAAGAGAGCCCAAGCCGAGGATAATTGCTGGTACTGCAGCACCACCAAGAGAGATTCTCCAACCATAAGGATGCAATTTGGAAGTAAAATAGTTCACAATGTTGGCACACAAAATTCCCAATGTGATCAACATCTGAAAACAAATGTTAAGGCCTCCCCTGTACTTTGGTGGAGCAATTTCTGATATGAAAAGTGGCACTGCCTGAAATTCAGTTTGTTGAAGGGACAAAAAAAATACACATATTATGTACATATTAACCAAAAATTTCAAAATTTCTACTTAGTTTAAAAAAAAAAAATTCAAAATGTTGCAGGGTAGTTGCCATTCCGTCACTCGGGCAATACCCATCCTTCGACATACAAAAGTATACGTAAAAGAACAACAAACTTAGGAAAAACTTGAAAGAACATGATATGGAATGAATAAATCTTAGCCCCGTTTTGCCCCCATTATTTCAAATTATAATGGGTGGAATAATATTTTTTTGAAAAATGAATGATTGAAAAAGAAGGAAAAGTTTTCGATTTACATGCAATATTATTTTATAGAAAATTGTGTGATTGAAAATAAGAGAGATAAAAATGAAATTTAATTCAATGAGGGCTTAATCATCTCGTCTAAAATTTTGGACAAGATGGTAAATGTATCGATCATCTTGACAAATAATTGACTGTAATAGTTATTTCTATTGAATAACTTCAATGAAATTAAATGCTAATATAATGTGAGTATCTTTAAAAAAAATACATAAAATAACTTTCTCAAAATCCTAATGATATCCACATAGTATACAGGAATCAGAAAAACAGATTAAAAAAAAAAAAATCCGAATGCAGCCATAAAATACATCCAGATGTTGTGGAAAAAAGTTTCACAAACAGGCCAAAAGTGGAAGTTGGAATTCGAATTCCAAGTTCCATGGAAAATTTCGTGCAATCAAACGGGGCCTTAGTGTATTTTAAGATTTTATATTTTAACCTTGTTGACGACTAATTAAAAAAAAAAAAAAATCCTAATGCAGCCATAAAATACATCCAGATGTTGTGGAAAAAAGTTTCAGATCACTTGAAAAAGACATGACATATAGATACATATATATTATATGATTTATATCACAGTTAATCAATACCTGGTTTCCAAATCCAACACCTGCACCCAAACAAAGCCGTCCAACAATGAGCATCGGAAGATTCATTGCCGCGGCATCGAGAATAACACCGATAAAGAAGAAAAAGGCTGCCAATTGCATGGTAGGTTTTCTTCCAAACTTCTTGCAACATTTTGATGCAAAGAAACAGCAAACCACAGCCGCAAGGTACAAACTTGAAGTGAATAATTGAAGAAGTTGATTGTCATATTTGCAGTAGTTATTCTCTTTTGCTCTGTGCTTCTTCGTGTACACAACTGGAAAGAACTTCAACAAGAAATCATCCATGGATGTAACTCCTCCTGAAAATAGATAACATGTTATATACCGTTCGCACTTACTGGGAATCCCTCGTCCCAGAAAAAAAAAAGAAAAAAAAAAAGTACGTACGTACGTACGTTCAAGGAGGCAATATGAACATAGGTAGCTTTTCACTTGGAAATGACAAGACTAGGCAATTTCTTTATAGAAAAAGAACACCATATGTGCATGTTGCACCCGAAAGCACCGTATGCCACTTTATTCTGATTTTTATCATAATATTAACCACATAAATTAAAACGAGGACCTCAAACTTTCGGTTGTCCGATTGATTTTCTATATTCTTGGACAATATTCTGATATTTTATCCCGAAAATCATTCCAAAGAATCAAACAAAGACTAAGATTATACGTATGTACCCAAAAGAGCGTGACCACTTATCGAGAAATAGAAAGGACGGACAAATTGGTTGGAGGAACCATTGGTCAAAGGAAAGGGAAGGTCCTAATTTCGGTCAAAGTTTAGCAAGAAATGCTTTTAATCATATCCATGAAGATATTCGAAAGAAGCGAGACTCCTTAGTGATCACGAACCCAAAAATCCAGGATATAGTGAGATCGGTTTTGTCCTCAGGTTGAATTGAATACTTCTCGTCAATATATTCCCACAACAAGATTAACATTAAGTCCAACTAACTGACGTCCAATTTAACTACTTGAGCGATATAGAAGGGGTAAAAATCTGCATGCCTTCGAAAACCAACTTCCAATTTAACAATTTATAACAATTTTGAAGTAGAAATTCAGATAATAAATTGTAAAGAGTGATTCGAATTAATTAATAAGACAGTCATGAAAAAAATAAAAAACTAAAAAATTAACAAGACTGACTCTTGAGAACATGCATATATAGATCAAGCCTTCCCTTCAGTAGATGCTTTATCTCCCACAGGCTTAATAGCTTCATCATCAGAATTGAAATATTTCTTCCAAAACCAGTGTTTTTTCCAAGCTCTCTCATTCATTTCATCAATGGGGATTCCCTTAGTTTCTGGCAGAAAGAACACAGCCCAACATCCCATTATAACAATCCATGCAGCAAAGAAAAAGAAGATCCCGGATTTCATATGGCACAGCATTGTGAGAAAAGCTT